AAAATACACTTATAAAATATATATTACTAAATTATCTCAAAATGAAAAACCTAATATTTAATTCCAAATGTTTTCATTGTTGGTGCTGAATAAGGGTGTACACAAATTAGACAAAAATGACTACCTAAGTCCTAATTAAAATTTATAAAGATGTCAAAGCTATTTGAACTTCACAAGTATTAATTTAATTTTTTATTTTATTAATTTTGACTGTTAAATATATACAAATAAAAAGGAATAAAATACTTTTAAAATGTATGGATTTATTCTTATTATTTGAAAATTTGGTCATGTTTTTTTTACATAATGCATATTTTGAGTTCATAATTTAAAAATGTGAAGGCATATAAATGCATATTTTCGAACTTTTAAGTGCATATTTTAATGCATATTTTGACAATTTTTAGTGCATGAATGCATGCTTACTTATGCATTTTTTAGTGCATGAAGTTACGAGCCCTGCTAATTAGTAACTATAATTAATATTTAATGACGAATACGTATATTATATTATATTATAATATAATATATTATATTATATTGTTAAAAAAATTATAAAAATATTTAGAATGATCGATACGTCAATTAATAATACAGTTAAAAACATAAGTATACAAAAATATTATACAAAATATAGGTACCTATATATTTTATGTTGGTATAATTCTGTAAAAATTGAATCCCCGAAATAAAATATTGCGTTTTCTGTGACATTTTGACGATAAGCGGTTTAGTATGTACCTTTGATAATATATATTATAAGGTAAAAGGTTACACCTACCTATCTAATCTGTAATGGGCTCAAGAACATAATTTGGATACTCGTTATCTTAGCTACAAATTTAGTACACGATACACAAAACGACAACGCTATGGAAACGCTGAAAATTTTAAAAACTAATGGTAAAAAACTTAAAATTACGCACATCGGCTTTATTTATCATTTTCAAAAAGAGTGTTCAAATTTTTTACGTTGGCGATGTTCTAAATTTAGCTCTTTAAAATGTCCGAGTGTACTTAAGACTAGTTTAAATATTGAAAATCCAATATTTGTTGGTCTTGATCATGACCATGTACATGATTCTAATAAAAATGCAGTCGCTGCTTTAAAATTACAAAATACAATGAAGAAAAAAGCACAAATATCACATGCAACACCGAGTCAAATATTTGCTGAGTCTGTGAGTAATGTACCACATGCAATATTATTAGAATTGACAAAAGAAGAACAGGTAATTATAGATACTAATTAACGTTAAAAAAATATTTGTTCAACCATTTGCATGAGGTTGTGAGTAATATTGTAATCTGGGGATTTTTTTTCCTAGGGTCGGGGATTTTTTTTCCGGGGTTGTTCGTCAGGGGTTTTTTTTCCGGGGATTTTTTTTCCGGGGGATTTTTATTCCGGGATTCCTAAGAGACGGCATGCAATTCGGACAGACCCCTCCAAGAGACGGCATGTAATTCGGACGACCCAATTTATATTCATTTTTTTGGCATGCAATTCGGATGCACCGACATTATTTTTACCTGTAAATGTAGAACACGTTTGGGTAAACAAACACATAGCACGTTGGGTTGGATACATATGATAATTGCCAAAAGGTTATCGCGAAAAACCGATTTTATCTTTATAAGATATGGTTTATGAAACTAGCTAAATGTTTCAAGTGGTAGGTTGACAGGTTGTCGTTTTCACATAAGTCAAGCCTGGTTTCGTCGTATTAAAAATGACAAAGAATTAAATAAGCACTATGTTGGAAAAACAGTTGTGTACCAACTACCACGTGGCTTCAAAGTTTTTTCGGTCTAAGTTATTTACCTTCTAATGAGGTGAATGATGGTATTATATATCTCATGGCCAATGCACTACCCAATGTTGAACATTTTACGGATTATATTGTAGACACGTTTATTGATGAAAATAGTTTATTCCCGCCTCATTTTTGGGCAGGTGAGCCCATCTATTTGAATCCTAGGACAACAAACGGACCTGAAGCTTTTCATGGAGATTTTAACAGTCAATTTTATGTTTGCCATCCTAATTGTTTTGCAATAATAAATATTTTAATAGAAGTTCAAGAAGAATCGTACTTAAAAATAGGTAGCATTAAACGAAATGTGCAAAACAAATAAAGAAAAGAAGACATGGATAATATTACATATGTATTAAACAAATTTGAGGAATACAAAGTCGAAAGATGTTGCAAAATATTTATCCCTAATTGGTCTGATATTTATCGGTAAAAACATTATAATAAATAATTGTAAAATAAACAAAGAGTCAATAATAAATACTAAATAACAATGGTGTAATAGTATATAATAATATAATAAATAATAATTTAAAAACTATGACAAGTAATTAAACACTATATTAAATATACTATATACTATACGTCTATACTATACTAAAATATTTTTGGGAGACTAAATAGAGCCAACCTCCTCGTGGTGTCTCCTGGATAACGCTAATAGGCTTTAAAAATTAATGATTAAGTATTAAAATGTTATTTTTCTAGGTGTTTCTCAATGTTGTATTAATACCTATGTCATATGTACCCAAACGTGTTACGGCCATTGTAAGCATAGGCGGAATTTCAACTTTTGGCTTAGGGGGGGCTGAATATACTAAAGGCAAGCAGACCATTGCAATATAGCATATTAAAAATGTCCTAGTTTTTTGGGGGGGCTACGACTAAGTTTGGGGGGCTTAGCCTCCCCCAAATTTTCGCCTTTGGTTGTATGTGAGATGAAAAGACAGTCAAAAAACTAAATACTATTCAAATTTCCAACAATACCGTTAAGCGTAGAATTAACGATATATCAACTCACATAAAATCTGAATTAATATCTTGTATTAAATGTAAGATGATCTTTTTGGCCTATTAAATAAATTGAATAATTTGTATATCTTGTATTTTATGGAAAAAAAAGAAAATCATTTACAACTGACATAATTTTTTATAAAATTATTATTGTCTCAAATAGACATTTCTGATTTTTGGGGCTCGGTAATTTTTTAAGGAACATATAAGGGCTCCGAGATTAAAAAAGTTTTGAGAACAGCTGGTGTATATAGAATACAATCACTTAAATTTATTTTTATTTTTATGTAGAATTTTGAATTAAAATTAAATTTTTTTTATTGATTTAAGCCCTGCAACTATGTCCATTAGCTGCTTTTGTTTGTAAAGGTTATTTTGATAGTCGAATACGAAATCAAATAATAATAAAATATAAAATCGATATGTCATTCTCTCAAAAATATTATTCTCTAACTTTTTTTGTAATTGGTGATTTTACTCTAAGATTACTTAAAAATATAGAAAAAATAATTCTGCGTTAATGCGTTTTGTCTATATTGCGAGTGGGTCCGAGAGAGAAAACAAACAGTGAGCTGACATCATCTTAAGAGGATGTGATGCCCTCCCTCATGTGTTGTCTCAGTCTTAAAAGACTTGCTGACAAAGTGGGAAAAATTGGGCCTAGGATCAGTTGGCATGCAGAATACGGTACTCTTCTCACCTAGAGCAGAGTATAGTGTAGAGTTATTTGCTATTGGATTAACTAAAAAAAATGATTTTAAAAATTCCTATTTTTGAAAAGTAATATCAATTTTTTTCAGCACAAGTTTCAATCACAGAATAAATTATAATTTAATTTATTCTATGTTTCAATTATTGTTCAATTAAAGATAAAAATAATCAATGTATGATTACTTAATACATCTATTCAGAACCAGAAACTAAGGCAATATGAATAAAATCATGTTTGAGTGACACTACAGTAAAATTTAAATTATTAACCACAGTTATCGCATTTATTCATAAATAATATATATACATATATACTGATATACTTTGGATATCAGTACTATCACCCGATAACCTAGTACTAATCAATTTTTAGTTGTACTTATTAGTATTAACAATGAAGAATTCAGTTCACAAGTATTGTGATAGTACTCATTACTTATCTACATAAATTTCATATTTCCAATGTATTTCTTACTCCAGAACCACTATTATATGAATAGAGTATATGAATCAATTTTTGCTTTAGTATGCTACATTACATACTTAGTTGTATTACAAAAGCAAAATTATTTTAAATGGTAGATTATTATCCTTAAAAGTATCCAATCAATTGAATAAAAATAAATAAGTTGTTAAATATTATGTAGAACCTATTTGCCAAAACTTTAATTTTACTACCTATTAAAAATATTTTCCTTGTATCTATGATATGAAATTAGTTAAACTGGATTGTGATAAAATCAGATACAATCTTTTTGGTCTCAGTTTAACAATGTCAAAATTAAGATTAAACAATAAGTTAGTAATAAGAAGTCAGTTTTTAGTGCAATCATTAAATAATTTAGATTAATACTCAAATAAGTTTTATTCAAAAAATTTAATTTTGTTTGATTAAAAAATCACATATTATAAATTGTGCGTATAATATTATAAATATTTGTAAAAAACCAATCATTTCTAGTTATAAAACTTAATACATTATAAGTATTCATAACTCACAAATAATGACTTAAAAACACGTCTAGATACTAGCACACTGAAGTATTACTGACTTACTCTGGAGTCTGATTATAGATTGAAACAACACTCAGTAGCGAATGTGCTTACACATCTAATGACATTGATAATTTTATGAACCAATAATTTAAAATAGAAATAATATTAAAAATCAGTTACTTTGTTGGGAAAAAATGCTTTATTATGAGCGTTTGAATAGAATTAAAATATAATGTAATTACATAAAATTCTCTGTAAAATTCAATTACTTATAAATGATAAAATTATTAATAAAAAAAAAAAAAAAAAATAGTTTAATCAAATGGCCATTATTTTGTTTATTCCATGGGCCATAAGTCATAACATTAACAAAATTAAAATGAATAACATTTACATTTGATTGGACTAAATTACTGAATAAAAAAAAAATGTTTAATTAAATAATAACCCATTAAGACATTCAAATCACGTGGTGGATGATGGAGTGGAACTTGAGTTGAATTTTGGCTGAATAATAGATGTCTTGCGTGCCGGAACTGTTTCTGGTGTCGGTATGGTATCCCCAGTACCAAAACCCAATACTTGTTGCACAGGACGATTATTAATCAATTTATTACCATTACCTGCCTGCTTGGCCATTTGATAATCACCGGAGTCAAAAAATTTTTGCTGAAAACCAAATTAAAATTTTTTAAATTTACTATAAAGATAAGAACAGATAACTCATTATTAATATAAGCATTGTTTAAAATATTTCAATAGAAGTAGTCATAAATTAATAATTTTAGCATACATTATTGTTGAAAATAATGAAGTCTAATATATCTAAAAAAAAAAAATAAAAAATGTTTTCTCCAAAAAACTATTTGGCCAAAATCAATAAAAAAAAAATATTACTTAAGTAGATATTAGGATATTTAGAATAGCCTGGTGACATCATTGGGTCTGGTTGGATATAACTGCATATCTTATATGAGGTGTAAAAGTTTCCAGCTCTATACAATGATTTAAAATTTTTTCAATGTACGTATACATTTTAGACTTTTTGTGCTGAAGACTATAGAAGTGTCAGAATATTTAAATAATACATTAAGTTTTTTTGAAACATTAGAAACACTAAAAAACATAATGGCCGGTTGCGCCATATCGTGTTATTATAAGTGACTACTGCTGTTACAGAGGAGTATGTAAATACGTAATGAAATTTACTATTATAAGATTTTAAATATTTCAAAAAACCAATCACTTGACAAATTCAGGTTTCACTAACATCTTCAGTGCATAAAAACACATCACATATGTACAACAAAAGTTCAAAAATATACTTTAAAGTTACTTTAATAAATTTATGTGTGAACCAAGCAGTTTTTAAATATATAAGATTCTTTATTAGTACTTATATTTTGTGATTTGTACTCTTTTAAAACTAATGAAATAAAAATATTATAAGTACATTATAATATAGTCAAAAAATATATACCTAATAATATTAACTTAAAAAATTATTGTTAGTCTTTTAGAAATGAATCAAATATACATCTAATTAAAGTTTTGATTTAGAAATGAGAACCAATGTAATAATGTATATTTTATTCGTAATCTTGTTATAATTTTGGTGTCAAATAAATAAATAATAATTATTATATGATTAAAAATCAAGTTATATACCTAAATAAACTAAAAATGTTATCTAATTATTTTAATTTATAAAATATTGCTAAAACAATATAATCATGAAATAAGTACTTAAAATTAATTTTATTAAGGGGCTCGGTAACATTTTTTTCAAATTTTCCGCAATTCTATAAAATTTGATATATGTTATTTTTTAGTTGCCACCTTAATTATAATACTTTTTCACTAATCTCCTGCCTGATACCTATTTAAGGGAGATGGTTGATAGGGTGTATTTAATCGAAAAAAAATGACTTCACGGTAATAATTCTCAGGCCTTGAAGAATTGTCGGGTTTTGATAATTATTTTATCTGAAAAAAGAAGATTTCTTACAGACCCCATTAAACTCTGATTTTTTATTTTATTTCAAATAATGGTATAATATAATTTGAAATAAAATAAAATTGTATTAATTTTGAAGACATATTATGAAGTTTGGGATTAAAATATTGAAGGTGCGGCTGCCTGTAGAATATTACCATTGATTAGTTAAAAAAATTATCAAATTTGGTTGATTCTGCAGAACATGATCATTATTCATGTAGTCTTTTTGTATACAAAAAACAATGGCACCAGGCGCCTTAAACCTTTAAATCTATTGTGATCCATTAAGTTACTCATACCCCTTTGGCTAAACGTTTTTGAAGAAGGGCAGAATGACCACTGACTGGAGGCCAATTTGACTTCATTTGATATTGTTTTTTCATACACTCTTCTTGAGCTTTTTCAACATCTTTGGGGTCCTAAAACAATTGTATATAGGTAGGTACTTAGTTAATAAAATCAAAATATACTTGAATTATTCAATCAAAAAATTCTTACCTTGGGTTTACAAAATTCTGGATTTTGAATCTCATTTGGGTTTTGATCGGCCATAGCTAAAACAACTGATAATCAACAATCTTGGATTAAAAATACTGACATGTAGGTACAAGAAACAATCTTACAATATTACTCAAGGAATTTAAAAGCAAATTTTGAAGATTAAAGATTACCATACGCTTATTATCCAAACATGCTCATACCAAATCAGTGTAATTGAAAAATAAACGGCGGGAGTGCCAGGCACACAAAATGAAATGGCGGATAATGTAGCATTGAATGATTCGTTTAAGGGAATAGTAATAATAATATGGAGATATTATCAATCATGTTGTACTTGACCTCGGATCGACGGAGAAGTGAAAAAAATTTAACTATAGACGAAAGGACACGGCCGCGGGATAAATGGTGTTCAACAATTTTCTTGTTGTCCAATTCGATCTCGTAAGATGAATGGTCGTAGTTGATGGACGTGCTGATGAGGAAAATTGCGTCGAAAAGATTTTTATTTTTGCATGACAATATTTAATATTAGGTACCTGTGGTGTTGCACGCGTGGTGGTGAAGGTGTCAGGTACTCAGGTGATAGCGGATCTGCGGGTAGACCGTCAACGGTGGTTTGAGAACGACTGACGATTGCAAAACGAAGGGAAGGAAAAAGACCGCGAAAATGGTAGACGCCGCTTTGTTTCTACTCGAGGAAAAATGAAATATAAAATTTTTTTAAACAAAATACAATAATTGTTAACACACGCGCCGGACACTCGCACTCCACATACAGAAACGGTTAGCGAATAGTGGTAGTGTGGACAGTGTGGTACTGCGGTAAAGAGTCGGAAAGATTGGGGCGATTGGGCGGATAAGCACTGGGACTGGGAAGCCAAACTTAAAATAGGTATAATATTATTCCATGTTGTTATCGTCGTCTGTTGTTGTTTTATCTGTTTATCAGCAACATACGAGAAAGTCTGTCACGGTCGTATGTATTGTTATTTGTTATTATTGTTGTCGTATGAGAGGCGCGCAGACTTCGGCAGTTTGGAGTTGCGCACTAATTTTCACTTGCGCGTTCAAACAAGACAATAACAATTGAATGCCTGAATGGACGAATAGGGATCAGTGCAAAGTACAATATTATACCTATGTCCTATACTGTACGTCTATTATTAATATAATGTCTTCGCAGTTCGCAGTAAAGTTCGCAACGAAAATTATACAAAACAAAGAGCGGCTGCAGCTGATATTATTCTATTCTGTGATATTGCTGTACCGAGTGTGCTGATTAGCTAATAGCTTTGGCCAGCGCTCCCGGTGTCTGTCACGGCTACTCGCGGTGACATAACCTCGAAAAACATTGCGGTCCGTCGGCCGTCTAGACAAGAGTCGCGCGTTGTAGTTGTTGTTGCTCGTTGTTTCTGGTCGTTTGTTGTTACTTGTTACTTGTTGTGCTTGTGGCTTCCACTAAGCAGACTGAAGAACTGTGTACATTTTTTTATGTTACAGTTGGCTGCGAGTATACAGTGATTAGTAAGGTTTTAAGTTAATTTTTCCCTAGAAAAAAGAGATCCGAAAATCGGTTATTTTTATAATTTTATCACCACAGACTCAGTTTTTAATCATTATTAATTATTTATTTTCAACAGGGTTGAACGTTGTCCCGTTAAAGTGGTCGCTTGGTGTTTAGTTACCGTTCCATAGAGCTATGGAGCAGTCCGTCAGCGAACTGACCAACTTGCTCCGGAGATGGGAAGATGAAATGCCTACCCCTAACTACAACCCAATACCAACGTTGATCAAGTAATTTTAATCGTCATAATATTAATGATGGATATTTTTTCAATTTTTATAAATTAATAGCTTGAGATATAGTCTCTTAGTTAAGACTTCTTTTAATTTTGGAAGTTTAAAAATACCTGCTATTTTTATCAAATGGTATACTGAAATAAGTTTCTTATTTATAAATTTAAATTACCCTCAAACACTTGAACTTTTTCATTATTCAATAGACTTACAAAACATGGTTTTTATTTAAATTGTTTTGATTAAAATGTCTTAATATCATTAAAACTGCGATTTTAACTTTTTCCAGATTATGTGAATTATTTGAAGCAGAATCAAAAAATTATCTTAAAAAAGACCCAGATCCCTTTGATGACCGCCATCCATCTCGAATAGATCCTACTTGTGTATTGGGCCAGATGTATAAGATTCTGTTTCGCAAAGATTCTTTAATGAATAAGGTAGATATTAAAATTAATACATATTTTTATTTTTATTAAATCAACATAATATATATTATATAATTCACATTTGTATTTATCAAATATTTTCAGTTAGTAATGGATTATTTAAAAGAACATCATTGGCCAAGACGAACTAAAGATAACCACGATTTAAATGTTGCTGCATGTAGGCTTATAATGAACCTCATACCAGGTTTAGAAACAACTGTCGTTTTTGAAAGTGTGAGTAAACCTTTAATTTATAAGATTAGTGTTTGGAAACATAAAAATAAATTATGTTTTCTAGCCTGCAAATGATCAACTTATTCAAAGGTTATTCACTTGGGCAGAAAATACTAGTGAACCATTGCAAACCTATGCAACAGGATTACTGGCATCTTGTATGGAGTTGACAGACATTGCTGCTAATTTCAAGTGTGTATAGTTACATTTTTAGTATTTATTTTAAAATATGGACACATACAGTGGCGCCCAAGATATATTTTTCAGGTGTAGCAAGAAATAATTTTACCCACCCACCCACCCTCTCAAAACCCAAAATTGTATTATTTAATACATTTTAACATATTTTTATTGATAATATTAGTAAATATTAAGGTATCAACCAATATAATCTGTGATTAATTATGAACATATTTCAAGTTTATTATTTTTTATTATTATACCCATCCACCCCTTATTTTCAAGGTGTAGCGACCGCTACACTTAGAAATAGGGTTGGGCGCCACTGGACACATAGATTAATATGTTACTAAAATATAATTTTAAATTATGTAGAGAAGATAACAATAAACTTGTCCCAATTATACTGGATCGTTTGCATTCATATTATACTCAGTTTTGTGAAGAAAATGAAATCAATCAAAGCACACAACCATATCCAAATACAAATAGTGATGAGCCTAATGATGATACAGGTGCTCCGTCTCCGAAAAAAAAAAGTAATTTTTCATTCTTCAAATAAATTATTTATAAAACTTATTTTAATTTATAATATTTGATGATCTTTAAACTATAAAACTTATTTTAATTTATAATATTTGATGATCTTTAAACTATAAAAATCATTAATTGTATAGTATTAATTTAATATATTTAGATATATTAAAAATATTTATAGCATTTAAACTCTTGAAATGAATTAAAATCTAATCAAAATATTTTTAAGTTTGCTACACTACATGGTATCACAATTTACCATTATAATATAAACAAAACATACTTTTTTATGATTGTTAATGTACGGCATAAACCAACAAGTACTCTTAATTTAAATGAAGTTGATATTACTGTTGAAGATTCTAACCAAAACATTAATATTTGTTTTGAGGACTCTCCTAGTAAATCAAGTATATTTACTTTACTACCAGTGTTTGGCATGTTCCATATAAAAATGATTTTGTTATTTTTTAAATAATAGAACATTTTCTTTTGTCATTTCTCGAGAAATAACAAGTTCATACAAAAATTGTGAAATAAGAAGTGCAAAATCCTAACATTGTTAATTTATAGTTTTGAGCTAATTATTTGATAAAACCACATGCTTAATAATTTGAAACTTTTTTAAATATATTTATTTTTTTCTTGAGATTTCTAATTAATTTAAAAACATAATTTTTATGTAGGTATCTTCAGTCTGCTCTTAACAACTAATTATATTTATGTTAACTATAGGCTTGGCACTAGAACTGTAATTGTAATTACAAAATTCTGAAGGAACAGAAAATGTTATTTATTTTTTGTAGATAAAAAGATTTTGCTCCTTTTCTAACTATTTTTTTCATTTAAATTTCGTTTGGCACAAAAGAAATTCTTTTCATGAATACATTCCTTGTAACTGCTGTTAATTTTTGAACTGTTTTTTTTTTTTTTATTATTCAATCTAAAAATATGTTTTAGAAAGAGAAGAAAATGGAATTTGTGGTGATAGTAACTCATCCTTTCCTGAGTCTAATGCAAGCAACTGGATACAAATCTATCCTCCTACTTTGACAACAAAATTAGTTTACTGTCTCAAATATTTAGTACCAACTGGAGAATATCAAGAAGTATGTATTATATATTATAATGTATATATATGTATGTATTATGTATTTTAATGTATATATGTATGCATTATGTATTATAATGTATATATATGTATGTATTATGTATTATGTAATTTAAATACTATTTTTTTTCTAGTTCTTAAGCCATGCCTACGAGAAAAATGCACTCAACTTAGTAATGAAAATAATTAATTCTTCAGAAAAACAAAATGGTTATTTAACTTTTGAAGCATTAAAATACTTGGCTGCTCTTTTATGCCATAAAAAATTTGCCACAGAATTTATTGGTTCGCAAGGATTACAAGTATGTTTAATATATTTTATGTAAATTCATTTGTGTCGAACTTAATTTTATTAAGAGTTGGTTCTAAAAAAAACAAACAATTAAGAGGTCTTACAACAAAACATTTGGGGAGACAAGAAATGTATGAGTAGCATCCTCTTAAGGGAATTTTTAATCTGGACACTAGAAGATTTGATTAGTTTTCAAAAAATTCTCTCAAGTTGAAGTTTGAAACCAATTAAAAAAAAAAAAATTGTTATACTAAAAATTATTTAATTATAAAACTAATATATTTTTTGCTCTGCTCAGAATCTAAAAATAAATAAAATTAAGTTATACAACTGTTTGATTGAGAACCAAACTAAGAATAAAATATAAAATTGAAATGTTTAAATATATTATTACAGTTTTAAATAAAAATGATATCATCTTTTTGTATATAAATTAGTGTTTCTTTTCTTCTTTGTCCACTAAATTCAA